AAAAGGTCTCCCTAAAGAAACAGAAGACACAAAGAAGAACCAAATAATAATTTTATATTTTTATTTTTTGAGATGGAATCTCGCTCTACCACCCAGGATGGAGTGCAGCGGCGTGATTTCGGCTCATTGCAACCTCTGCCTCCCGGGTTCAAGCGATTCTCCTGCCTCAGCCTCCCAAGTAGCTGGAATTACAGGCACATGCCACCACGGCTGGCTTATTTTTGTATTTTTAATAGAGATAGGGTTTCACACATTGGCCAGGCTGGTCTTGAACTCCTGACCTCAAGTGATCTGCCTGCCTCAGCCTCCCAAAAAGCTGGGATTACAGGCATGAGCCACTGCGCCTGGCCCCAATTAATTTTAGACTGCAAATAGAACCACCAAAATAAATAAGTTAAACAAGCTTACACAATGCATTCTTGCTTTTTACACTCAATACATAATGAAAATCCAAGTCTCTCTGTAGACAAATATACAGTACTTTTTAGTAGCTATAGTATTCTACCGTAGGAATTAACTATCATTTATTTAACTAATCCTCAATTAATGGGCATTTATATTATTTATAATTTTTCACTATTATATATCATGCATATGGGCATAATTATCTAGGTCATTTTTAATTATGTCACTAAAAGTGAGAGCGCTATTATGAAAGGGTACGCACAGATTCTTTTGGCTTTTTTTGAAACAGGGTCTCATACTGTTGCCCAGGCTAGAGTGCAGTGGCACAATTATAGCTCACTATAGCCTCAAACTCCTAGGTTCAAGCAATCCTCCTGCCTCAGTCTCTTGAGTAGCTGGGACTACAGGCACACGCCACCACACCTGGCTAATTTCTTTTTATTAGATGGGGTCTATGTTGCCCAGGCTGGTCTCAAGCTGCTAGACTCAAGTGATCCCCCCACCTCAGCCTCCCAAAGCACTAGGATTACAAGCATTAGCCACCATTCTCAGCAAGGGCATGTACGTTTTAAAGTTTAACACACACTGCCAAATAACCCTCCAAAAGAGTTGCACCAATCTATATTCCCACTAATAGTGTATGAGTATACCTACTTTTTCACATTCTTGTCAACAACAGGTATTGTGTAAACGTTTTCCCTTGTTTTCTAGTTTGACAGATATGAAAACAGTACTTCATTGTTATTTGTACATATATTTCTATTTTTTTAGACAGGGTTTGCTCTATCACCCAGGCTGAAGTGTAGTGGTGCGATCTCAGCTCACGGCAGCCTTGACTTCCTGGGTTCAAGTAAGCCTCCCACCTCAGCCTCCAAAGCAGCTGGAACTACAGGCGCTTACCACAACATCCAGCTAATTTTTTTTTTATTGTATTTTGCTTGTAGAGATGGGGTATCATCTGCCTGCCTTGGGCTCCCAAAGTGCTGGGATTACAGGCATAAGCCAACATGCCCAGCCTTTTTACATACATTTATTATTGATATGTTAAATATATTTTCATGTGTTTAGAAGTCAAAACATAGCCGTGCACAGTAGCTCATGCCTGTAATCCCAGCACTTTAGGAGGCCTAGGCGGGCAGATCACTTCAGGTCAGGAGTTCGAGAACAGCCTGGCCAACATGGCAAAAGCCCATCTCTGCTTAAAATACAAAAATTAGCCAGGCATGGTGGTGTATGCCTGTAGTCCCAGCTGCTTGGGAGGCTGAGGCAGAAGAATCGCTTGAACCCAAGAGGAGGAGGTTGCAATGAGCCAAGATTGCACCACTGCACTCCAGCCCGGGAGACAGAGCAACACTCCATCTCAAAAAAAAAAATAGTCTTTCTTTTAAAAATTACCAACTAAGATCTTCTGTGAATTCTCACTGTTTATCATACTAATATAACAGTCTTTGGTATTTTAGAAATATTACCAGCCAGGTGTAGTGGCTCATGCCTATACCACATAATCCCAGCACTTTGTGACCTGTGGTTGGAGGATCACTTGAGCTCAGGAGTTCGAGACTAGTCTGACTGGGGAACACAGCGAGACCTCATCTCTAGTAAAAATTTTAAAACTTAGCCAGGCGTACTGGTGTGCGCCTGTAGTCCCAGCTACTCAGCAGTCTGAGGTAGAAGGATCACTTGAGCCTGGGAGATGGAGGTGGTAGTGAGTTATGATTGTGCCACTGCACTCCAGCCTCAAAGGAAGACTCTGTCTCAAAAAAAGAAAAGAAAAGAAAAAAAGGCTAAAATTCTGTCTTCCTTTTTGAAAAAAAATTAAAGTGAAAAAGAGAAGAAATATTACCCATTTATGCAAACATATTTTCTCCCATTTTGTTTTCACTTTGCTTATGCTGTTTTTTTGGTAGCAGTAAAATTTTTAGTTGGTTTAACTTCCATTTTAAAATTTAACTAAATCTTTGCCCCATTGAAGTTGAAATACTAAAGACATAAACCTAAAGGCTCAGTCCAAATTAGTTTCAAAGCCAAACAATCATAAAATCACCCCTCCACTACTGACAATTATTTAGAATTAGTCATGATTCTAATTAAAGAAAAGAATGCAGGTACCCACTAGTTCCCTATACATTCAATTAACAATAGTCTACTCTCCAAACCACATATAGATGGAGTATCTGTTATATGAAATCTTTGGGACCAGAAGTGTTTCGGATTTTCTTTGTTTTGGTTTTTCAGATTTTGGAAAGATACAAAGTGGTTTAGCATGCCAAAATTAAAAATCCAAAATCTAAAATGTTCCAATGGACACTCCCCCTTTGAGAGTCATGCTGGTGTGCAAAAATTTCAGATTTTAGAGCATTTCAGGTTTTCACATTAGGAACAGTCGGTAGGTACACAGTTCCCCCAGGTGGTATGATTGGACTTTTGACTTGATTTTTTAAATAATATTCCATTTCCCCATTGGGATCCCACTTCTACTCTAAGCCCCAACTACCCAGTTGGTTATTTGACAGCCCTTTTTTCTTCTGGAGAATGGACCCTTTCCCATGGCTTCACTGTTATCTGGAAACCTAACTCAAAATAACCAAAACTCTGAAAACTACTAGTCTGCTACCTGATGGCTCATTATCATCACCACTTGAGATTTCTATTACCACGCTCCACCCCCTTTTTGGATATTGATCTAAACTTACTAAGTTACCTTGGGCATTATAATTTTTACTGCTAGTCAAATTACGTGAGCAGAAGCTCACAAAGGATACTAAATAAAGCAAATGTAATGTTTTATTCCTTTATTTTACTGAGAATCTGTTCTTCCTACTTATCTTCTCCCACCAGCCATTTACAGCTTTTGACATACTTCATGGTATAATACTGCTGGTTTATGACAAGTATCATTAACAATGTCATACATATAATAATAACCACTAGAATTCTAACTTCTGTGAATGTCACATACATAAAGCCATAATGAAAGAAAACAGTTTAAAAAGATACCTTTTAATAACATGAAGGAAAAAAAATCAAAATAACATATCTATACAAATATATCCTATCATTATTCCAGTATTTTGCAGAATAAAGAATTTGTCTATATAATTCCCTTCAGTAGTCCACAAAATGTTTAGCACTCCCTTCCCACTACCATTGTATTAATTAAAGACATCTGATGTCAATGACCAAACTACAGTATTAATGCTTAGAGCTAGGTTACATTACTTAACTTTTTCATTTTCTTTAACATCTTCAAGTCATAGGTAACTTTTTAATCTAATCTTGTTCCTACTCCAGGACATTCCCATGAAAAAAAAAAAAAAAACTATATGCTGACCACAGCATGTATTTAGCAAAGACCATACCCTTAGCTGAAGAAATACAGCACAATTTCGCCTTCAATTCCTTAAACTACAAACTATATTGTATGGGAGCCAATTTTATGAAGTATCAAAGTATTACCATTCTGGACCAGGAAAAAGTATCTAGAAAGGACATTACTAGGTTTTCAAGTAAAGGCAATTTGCTCCCCACCAGGAGACACCTTTAGTTGTCACACTAGAGGAAGGAGAAAGACCACAAGCTGCTGGTATCTAGTAGCTAGCGGTGCTGCTAAACATCCTATAATGTACACAATAGCCCCCGACAACAAAGAATTATCTGGCTCATAATGTCCACAGTGATGAGGTTGGGAAACCTGGGACAAATGATGAAATGTGAATATGAACTGCATTGTATCCATGTTATATTTCCTGAATTTAATAATTTTTCCGTGGCTTCACAGAACAATAGCCTTGTTCTTAGGAAATACACATCAAAGTATTTAGGAATTTGGATTTAGGAATAAAGGAACATGTCTCAACTCACAAATGACTCAGAAAAAAATAATATGTACACATGTAGTGGGAAAGAATGAATGATAAAGTAATGGGGCAATATGCTAATAATTGATTAATCTGAGTAGAGTATATACAGAAATTTTTAAATTATTCTTGCAGTTTAAAATTATACCAAAATTAAAGCTAAACAAGTATTATCATGCCCATAAATTTATTTTACCTGGGAAACTTTGCACAATTTCCCAATATATTTGTGCAATATAGCAAATCAGCTTTCTTTTACTCCTTTCTCAAAATAAATTACCCTATATCGAATGGATACTTGCAAATTGAACCCAAATAACTCATGTAAGCTGAAAGTATAATTTCTAAAATGTGAATGGCACAAAGTTAGAAATGCTTAGATGTCTACCAAGGACATGACATTCTATTGTATATCACAGTAAATTCATGGCCAATATCTCTGCATTGTATATTTCAGGCTTTCAATACACACTGAAAACTGAAACCACTTAAGATCTGAACATGATCAATGCAAAAAGATATACAAGAAATAATACAAAAGTATTTTTAAGACTCAGATTTTCATAAGTTTAACATTAGTTATGAATTCTTGAATTTTATCATTCCTATTTCTGGGCAATTGTTACTTTAAACAGCATGCAACAAATTACAATAACGGCTTCATAAATAACAAGTTTACTTTTGGAAAACAATTCTTTAAAATTTTAAATCCAGGAAAAAAAAATTTAGGGAACTTACAGACGTTTGGGACATACTTGACTGTTGTGTGACACTTCCTGTGGGAGATGTAGAAGGTCTTCCACTGGACAAACTTGCCTAAAATAGTAAGACTTTTATAATACATCGGTAAAAACCTAAAGTGAAGAACTTTCTGGTACCATGATAACACCAAACCACAACAATAAATGTCTAAAGGCCTATGCATGAAACAATTTTACAGTCAACATGGCTTAAGCCTTGGTTAAACAGATTTTTTAAATACGAAAAAGCTGAATGGTGAAAACGGGATCCAAAGACTAGTCTTATTTTTATTAACTACTTTATTGTCAGTTTCACTTTACGGGTCTCTGTCATCTTTAAAGTGGAATCACTACTCCAGAGTTATGAAAAAGAAATTAGAGCTACAGCAAGTGCCAGTGGGTTTCAGTTTCCTAACTTGTATCACGAACATGTTACTTAAAATTACACTACTAAGAAGCAGCAACAGCTGAGAATCTGTTGGTAACAGAAATAAACCTTTTTCAGGTTCAGTCAACTGAGATCCTCCTCCGGTGAGGGGATTTAAGATTAAATCTTAACAGCTTTTAAATAGTACAATAGTAACAAAAATATTTTTAAAAAACAAGCATTTAATAATGAAATCCTGTTATCAGTGGGAATAATATGATTGGATTTTAGAAAGATGGATATACATATCTTTGTATAGATAATTTCTGGAGAAGTATGTATTAAATTGTTACAGTGGCCACCTTTGAAGAATGGGAAACAGTGGTAGGCAGGGTAAAAGAACAGTTTTACTTTATCTCTTATAAACAATTTAAAATCGTTTCATTTATTTATTTTGATTTTTTAATGAGTATAATTACCTACATAATTTTTTAAATCTTATTTTTAGTAAAAATACAATTTATGTAAGCCTAAGTACTCACTGTTGTACCTAGAACTATATACATATAACAAAGCCACTAGTTGCAGTTCTCCAGTCTGGATAAAAAGTACCGAGACAAAAGCTAGAAACAGAGTAACATAAAAAACATAGCCCCTTTTTCTCAATTAACTTCTATTTGGCAACCTATTAATATATTTCCTTCAGGAAAAATAACCACAGGACATCTGAGAACTCTGAAATAATACCCAATGTATTTATTTTCAGTAACTACTTACAGAAAACAGAAACTTTGGTCTCATAAACTCTTAATTTGTTTTAGTCTTACCTGAACGGCAGCAAGGCTCTGAAGCTGGGAGCTGCTTAAATGCTGCTGCTGAAGAGCTGCAGTATGCAGCATTAAGTGCTGCTGTTGGGCTGCATACATTTGCTGAAGGTACTGAGCAGCTGAGCTGGGAGGCCGATGCAACGCCTGTTGAATTACCTGTGATAAGTCAATTGAACCAATGTCAAACCATAATCTCAACCTTTATCTTAATCAGAAAATGAAAATATAAAAAAGTAGCAGTTTAAAATTTCACTGTTTTAATACATAATATCATCAAGTTTATTAACATATCTCTTTCCTAGTTACATATCACTAGAAATCACTAACTTGTACACATCAAAACTACCCAGTGGGCTGGAAGCAGTGGTGCAAGCCTTTGGGAGGCCGAGGTGGGCGGATCACAAGGTCAGGAGTTCGAGACCATCCTGGCTAACATGGTGAAACCCCTCTCTACCAAAAACACGAAAAATTAGCCAGGCGTAGTGACACATGCCTGTAGTCTCAGCTACTCGGGAGGCTGAGGCAGGAGAATTGCTTGAACCTGGGAGGCAAAGGCTGCAGTGAGTGGAGATCATGCCACTGCACTCCAGCCTGGGCGACACAGCGAGACTCCGTCTCAAAAAACAACAACAACAACAAAACCCAGTGGACAATTCACAAAAGACAGGCCAACTAAGCATTTCAAAAGATTTTCGATCTCACCAGTAGTCAAAAACTTACAAATTAAAACATGATACTATTTTCCAACTTTCAGATGGATAAAGATTTAAAAGACTATTACTACTACCTGAGGAAGCCAATACTCCCATACTGCTAGTAATAATTTAAGTTGGTATAACATTTTTGGATAAAACTTGGTAGAATTCAGGGCTTGGGTGTGGAGAGAAATACCTTTACCATGCAGTCATTACAAATAGTAATGTAGATCAGTGCTGTCCTATACAGTAGTCACTAGTCACATGTGCCTGCTGAGCACTTAAAATGTGGCCAGTGCAACTAAAGAAATGAATTAATTTTAAATTGAATTTTAATTAATTTTAATTTTAATGTAAACGTAACTTGTGGTAACCACTGACCACTATAGTGCACATTGCTGATACTGATCTATATTTACTAACAAAAAAAAATCAGTGGGTTACAAAATAGTATATAGAGTAAGATACCATTTTTATATTAAAATATTTGAAAGAATCAGGCCAGGCACAGTGGCTCACACCTGTAATCCAGCACTCTGGGAGGCCGAGGCGGGTGGATCATGAGGTCAGGAGATCAAGACCATCCTGGCTAACACGGTGAAACCCTGTCTCTACTAAAATTACAAAAAATTAGCAGGATGTGGCGGTGGGCACCTGTAGTCCCAGCTACTCGGGAGGCTGAGGCAGGAGAATGGCGTGAATCCGGGAGACAGAGCTTGCAGTGAGCCAAGATAGCTCCACTGCACTCCAGCCTGGGCGAAAAAGTGAGACTCCGTCTCAAAAATATATATATATTTGAAAGAACCCACAGGAAAACTTTCAAAGACCACTGATGAGTAGCTAGAGGTGATTTTTAGCTTCTAGTTCATACTTTTCTATAAATGTCTGAAAATCTTACAATGAGTAGGTATTATTAATAATCATATAAGATTACAAAGCAGCTGGCCACATTGGTTCATGCCTGTAATCTCACCACTTGGGGAGGCCAAGGCACGCTGATCACCTGAGGTCAAGAGTTCAAGACTCGACTGGCCAACACAGCGAAACCCTGTCTCTACTAAAAATACAAAAATTGGCCAGGCATGGTGGCGTGTGCTGTAATCCCAGATACTGGGGAGGCTCAGGTGGGAGAACTGCTTGAACCAAGGAGGTGGAGGGTGCAGTGACCAGAAATCATGCCACTGCACTCCAGCCTAGATGACAGAGCAAGACCCCATCTCAAAAAAAATGAAATAAAATAAAATTTAAAAATTATAAAGCTATTTCTTCTTTAGAAAATTACTGAATAATTTTTTAAAATTTTAAATGTCAAATACCTTGTTTTGCTTCAACATTGAATAAAACTATTCTTACTTTAAAAATTCCTTAAAAAGTGTTAATTATTGTGAATATTTATTAGTAAAATGTAAAATCTGAGCCTGAAACTTCATAAATAAATATAGAAGTACTCTAGTAAAATCAGAGAAAACTCCTACACTTGTCCAAAAGGTTAAGTCAGAATAAGTCAATCCTATACAACCAAATCCAAAAGTCACACTGTGCTCACTGTGACTCAAACAGCACAGAACCCTAATCGCAGCATCAAACCAGAGTCTTCAAAGAGCTAAGGGAATAATAGTGCCATAATCCTATAGCTTGAGGGTCTCTCAGGACATCTTGAACCATAATACCATGAACCCTTTTATCTAAATTTCAAGAAAGCATATTTCTGTGTTATTGTTTATTTTCATGTGTTAATATCTCATCTCTCCAACTATAGACTGCTATGCCTGATACAAATTTCTGTCACAAAATCAATGGGAGCTTTTGACCCCTACCTGCAGGCAACTATAAGCCAGCATTAAGTGATTCAGTATTACAACAACATACCTTTTTTAGTCAGATCAATCTCTATTTGTTCTTCTAATTCCATAACAAAATTCTAAAATCACTGGACAATATCCAGAAAAAACTTCTAAAATCAAACTGAAATAACAAACAATCTATTTGATACATACTTTTGTCAGAGTATACTCATTTTTTCTGTTGTCAGCACAGTCTTTCCCTACTATTCAATGCTCAACTTATAGCAATGAGTAAATAAAAGTTATAGATACAGCACATTGTTCTTATTTATTATAAATTCTTATTCACCCAAGGAGGGTGAAGAGAATTCCCAGGACTGAAAACAAAAGCTGGAAAATTAAAGAATTACGTAAGTAGTTCAATAAATATTGACTGATTGCATTTTGGGAGAAGCAATTCTATGGTCTCATAAGAACCAGAGTTAGTGCTATTTATGAGATATATCTACATCTACGTATCTTTTTATTAATTTTTTATTAATCTATGCAGCTTAATTGAAAACTAGAGGACAAAATAGTATATTAAGCTATCATATTATCAGTCAGGCGTGGCAGCTCATCCCAGCACTTTGGGAGGCCAAGGCAGGAGGATAGCTTAAAGAAAGAAGGTCAAGACCAGCCTGGGCAACACGGTGAGATCCTGTCTCTACAAAATAAAAATGTTAGCCAAGTATAGTGGCATGTGCCTGTAGTCTCGACTACTCAGGAGGCTGAAGCAGGAGGATCACTTGAGCCCAGGGGGTTGTGAGCTGTGATCATGCCACCAGACTCCAGCGTGGGCAACAGAGAGAGAGGAAAAAAAAAAAGGGCCAGGCGCGGTGGCTCACGCCTATAATCCCAGAACTTGGGGAGACTGAGGCAGGCGGATTATCAGGTCAGGAGATAGAGACCATCCTGGATAACATGGTGAAACCCCGTCTCTACTAAAAATATAAAAAATTAGCTGGGCACGGTGGCACGTGCCTGTAGTCCCAGCTACCCGGGAGGCTGAGGCAGGAGAATCACTTGGACTGGGGAGGTGGAGGTTGCTGTGAGCCAAGATCATGCCACTGCACTCCAGCCTGGGCTACAGGGCGAGACTCAGCCTCAAAAAAAAAAAAAAAAACAAACAAAAAAAAAACACTTACATCCTTTTCCCTACATCCGTTACCTCAGCGAAAGGTAAAAAGCATTAAAACCCCACTCTGCATGCAAGTTTTAATTTCTGGTGAACCGGCTGGTTCCACTCCACAGTTACTTCGGAAAATTAAATCCTAAACCATAAAATAGTTAAATAGACATTATACTGGGGTATCCACCATGGAAACATGGAGCAGAGGAAGGACTATATTGCAAGCAGTTGTTTTCAGGGTAGATGCAATTACCCTGATTCTACCGAAAGAAAGCAGGTATAATAGAAAAAATAAGAATTCAGAGTGATTAAGGGCACAAAGGCTGAAGTCTGAGAACTAGCTAGGTGAGTTTGGGAAAGTTATTTAGCCAATTTAAAACATTTATTTTCCCATCAGTAAAATGGAGATAATAATAATAGCTCCTTCATAGAGGGATGGTAACTATTAATGGAGGTAATTCATGTAACATTTATCAAATGTTTGGCACGCAGTAATTATTCAATAAGTATTAGCTATTACTATCTACTGGAAACCTATAATGTGCCTTACACAGTTCTAGATACTTCATTTAATCTCAAAGATACTTCATTTAATCCTCAGAGTAACTAATGAAATAGGTAGTCTCACCCTCATTTTAGTTTTCTGAGGCTTAAGGGGATTATGTCTCATGCCCAAGGCTATATAACTCCTAAAGATAATGAAAACGGAATTCAAACAAAGCATAATAGAGTTGAAGGTCCATGCCTTTTTTTTATATAATACCATATTGCCCCAACCTCCTCCATTATCATAAATGTTAACTAAGTAAACTTTACTTTCTCAACTAAGTGACTTCCTAGTTCAATATTCCCTTCCCCCTCTGCTCCTAAGGGATTTAGAATGGATCCTCCTGCTTACGGGTCTTAGGCCACCTGGGTTTAAAATGAACTTCATAACATATCTACACACCTTAACAGATCTCCTTGAGTCTATATTTTGAGTTCCAATATAAAATAGATAAACCTACAGCCATTCTGCATGTTGGGGCTCTAGGTTGAGTGTCTTCACATTGCAGCAGCACCCTAGAGACTTTCCCCTTATAATTTTCTTTACACATAATCTTATAAACTACACGCTGACAAATGTAAGCCCTCTCAATACTATATATACATATATATATATATATATATAAAAATTTTTTTTTTTGAGACGGTGTCTCGCTCTGTCGCTCACGCTGGAGTGCAGTGGCGCAATCTTGGCTCACCGTAAGCTCCGCCTCCCGGGTTCATGCCATTCTCCCGCCTAAGCCTCCCACGTAGCTGGGACTACAGGTGCCCGCCACCACGGCCGGCTAATTTTTTGTATTTTTAGTAGAGACGGGGTTTCACCGTGTTAGCCAGGATGGTCTCGATCTCCTGACCTCGTGATCCGCCTGCCTCAGCCTCC